TTTGGATAGAGCTGGTTGATGACGGCTAATAAGCCAGGAAGGTAGGGGGCTCACCGATTCCGTTAAGGAACAGTTATGCCCCCTTGTGCCCTGGAGCTCACTATAGAGCCTTTGCAGGCAGTCGCATACCAACTAGTAGGATAGTATGCAGAGGTGGCAAAAAAGACACTAAGATCATTTCTGGCTTATTAGCCGTCATCAGCCAGACATACCCAATCAACGACCGCAACCGATAAATCAACGAGTTTGTAGCTCAATGGTACGGCGTTACACTCCATGACCAAAGGCTCACGGGTTCGAATCTTTGGTGGTCCACAGCTGGAATTGGATATGACCAGCTGATGACGGCTAACAAACCAGAAATGGCCATTCCTGTCTCCTTTATCTTTGTAGGTTCCTCTTAACATGCATATATATACAAAAAGCAAAAAATTAAAGCTTCAATTTAAAGAAGCAACGCGACAAATTGACCATCCTATAATACGGGGTCACGATATTGCAATGGTGAAATTACATCATCGAACAAAAAGCCATAAATGCATACAGGATAACCGTAACGCTCTCTAACACACTTTAGAGACGGTACTTATTACAAATCTTCTCAAGCATAGGGCAGTTCGTGAACTAGTTCTGCCTTCATAGAAAATAGCGTTGTTTAAGGAGCAATTAACCGCAGGGCAATTCTCTTTTCGGAAAAGGTGCGTGAACGTTAAAAAAAGTACTCAACACAGAAGAAAGACTTGGTCAAAGCACGGACCGACCGGCTGATGATGGTTTATTCGTCTTTTCCACTGGGAGGGCGCACAGGTTGGTTGCAGACGCATTTATTTTTATTTAGGATCTGCGCCTTATCCATCACAGTCCCCATCTCCATAATGTTTAATTAGTCAGGCAAACTCCACAGAACTACGTCAACAGGCAAAGGGCAAGTTCTTACCGAGACTCGACAGAGACGTCAGTTTCATTGTGGTCTCCCTCTGTTATCTCCGTAGATGCGCCTAAATCATAAAAAAGATAGGGCACTCAGTAGAGATATCAGGACAGACTGGAAAAAAAAAAGGCGTAAAGGCAACGAAAAACAATTTTCCGTGGAGTTCGAAGCCTCCACATTCGCTTTTCATAGAAGACAATCAAGCCCATGCACTCATTTTAGCATTTTCTTTGTCACTGAAACGCGGTGGAAGAGTCTCTCCATTACGTGAATGAAACGACGATGACAACCTTACCGTCTGTAACGTGGAGGAGGTGCAGTATCCGTGAGTTGCGTATGAATAGAGTTATATTGAATCGGACTTGCGCGCAACCTAGCGCGCTCGCTCCTCCCTCCCGCATCTGGTGCCGAGGGAAAAACAGTCTCACAGCGCCTGGAGATGTGCTCGAGCGCAGTAGCTGACAAGTCGTGTGCCACGCACCACCCTGTCACTGATACCACCAGTGTGATAGGGGCACAAATGCCATATTAAAAAGCTCTTGTAGTCCAACTCACAGCCCTGAAAGGGCCAACTTAGTCCGTCAGTTGGAAGCCCTGCAATCCATGACTCTTGGCGCATCCCTCAAAGACATAAAAGCCTTCTGCCTGTGACATATACGCTACCTGTGATTATGGCTCCAGAGAGCTCGAAACAAGACAACAGGCAGGACAGCCAATAACAGGCACTAACAAACTTATTAATCACCCAATAAACTCCCTAAACTGACTCT